TCCTTCATGAAAGAATAGCCTATGATTCTTGAAGCTGACGAAAGTGCCGATGATTACCGTACTTGACTCGTGCACTGGGGCGAGGAAACCGTACAGTCTCACGCGTTTTATTTGAGGTTGACATCAAACTCTCGTAAAATTCCTGTTTAAAAAAGTCATTTCACTGGATACTGTTACCAGCTCTGGTGTATTCACCAACCCACCAAGGTTCCACGAAATACCCCCTGCTCAAGATCTGTGCCAGCAGAGTCGAATCTTTCGCGGCTGGCTTGCCTATGCTAACTAGGTGATGGCGGCAGGTCGAATTATTCTGAGAGTCGTGGCGTATGTCCGGTGCTAGATTGAGCCCGAGCTCGGGTTCGCTTTTGAGTTTCGCCAACACACTGCGTAAGCCCCCCCCTGCGCGATACAGTATCTTTTTGCATCTTTAAAGCAGAAGGTAGCTCAGCTACAGGGGATGATAAGGACACCGCATCGTCTAAAACAAAGCGTTTCCCATTCGACAAGCTCGTAAGAGCAGAATCGTGGTATAACCTGACCGAGCCGACGTGGATCTCAGGATGTGTTTTCGTTTGCTTTAGAATGTCAAAGGTAAAAGTAAACCACTTTTGCTATGACTGTGGACTGTCCGATGTCGAGCGGTCACAACTCAGACTTGAAAAGCACAGACAACTGCTTGTAAGTAGGTTAACTAAATTCGGTAAAAAAAAATATTTTGGCCCACACGTATCCTACTTGTTTCTTGCATCGACGTCTTGCTTTTGTACATCCTGACCCTCAGTGATAGCTTCGCGCACCCTGCACATGACGTTCAATCTCGCTAATATAAAGTCACTGATTTTGCTACGAAGTGTAGCCGGGTTGAACTCAGCAAATTAAAACGGTCGACAAGTTTCTCCTCCACTAACAATTAAGCCACCATGTTGTGGTGTCGAATGCACTCGAGCGAGTGGCCAATCAATTTATGTAAGAATCACTGATATAGGCAGTACTGCGTTATCGAACGCAAATTCAGCGAGCAGAAGCAACCGACTCGAGCACCACGGTCTTTATGCGCAATTGCTTCAAAAAATATCCCCCGCAACGAATTGAAGCGTTCTCATTCAACATTTAGCCGTAGATGGCCAGAGGTTAACATATCCAGTCTGGTGCCTAGTTCCTTGAACAATGTTTGACAGATCTTCGCTGTATGGTTCGGATCCGTATCCAACTTGATGTCTACATGACTGTATCCCTACCGGTCATATTACCGCCGGCAACAGCGATATGAGTCATCTTGCTCAGACTGTCCATCAATATCACGATATCGGTTCTATTGGACGCGTCTTCATACGACCGAGAACTAAGTCCATACTGACAGACTGCCACCTTTCTGCCGGGCCCTGCAGGATGGCCAAAGGTGCCATCGCATGCAACGATGGTTTAAGCTACTAACACCTTTCACTTGTGCGCACATATGTGATTTTTAAATATACATGCTGGGTCAGCAATACCTATAGAGCATCATGGCCTTTCGATTTCGAGATGACCAACCATTGGGTATCATGTTCCTCATTGATGTCAAGTTAATCATTGCTGTAATACAGCAAACTTTAGAATAAGAGATCAGGAACAGCGGTACGGGTGTGCAACCGAGTTCTTTGATAAAGTGTCATTTAGACGCTATATGTTTTTCTTTCACAAGATCACAGCGGTGCAGCACAACGTGCTTTAGACCTATCCACGGTTCGTGATGCCTTATCGAATGGCTGCCTCACAATCGCGACATGCGACAATCAGCAACATCAGCTAGTATATCAATTCGACCTAATAACATCAATGGTATACTTGACATAGAAGGATAACTATCTTGTCACACTCTGGCGATGACGTCGCTTTGTGCAACGACGCATGATCTGTCTTGATTACAAATGGCATAGAGCCATGCACGTACGTCCTGAACTTATACTCCATTGCATATAGCTTCCTGTCATGGATAGAATAATTTTTCTCTGTCGCTTCAAGCTGGAAGGACCCAAACGCGATCCCGCTTTCATGCCCATCGGTGTCTGCTTGAAGTATTGAGAAGCCTATGGCAAATGCGGATGTTTTGTAAAAATATTAGATTGCCAATCTGGATTTGTAAGAGCTGAATTCGAGACACACATGACGCTTTCGTTCGCTACCGTAAATCCTTCTCTTCTTCTGCGCCCCAACACCATCTGACGTCCTTTCAAAGAAAAAGTGACGCTTCGTTCTATACCAGCATAAATTACGCGATATTTGCACAAATTGGCCAGGCCGCTACCTCTTTGTGCTGGCTAATCTACGATATTCTTTGTCTTTGCGAGATCTGCCCGCAAATCACCGCTACTAATGATGCAAACCAGATAGAGGCGCGTCGGCGCCAAAAGTAGTATTGCCTATGCTGGCAAACCGCTAATCTGAGCGCATACTTTTGAGCACTGCTCGCGGGTGCTGATTGTGAGAGATCAAACTTTCGTATTAAGCGTAGTGCCGCCACACCTTACCTACTGAGCTAATCTGACAAAAAAAATATTTGATGCACAAAAATGTAGACACACAGCTGAAATAGCATCTTCTAACAGATGTTGCGCACCAAGATTGGTATTTAGGGGTTTCATCTCACAGCTGTATTTGTTTCCCGCCGAAGATACAGTTTGGGGACCGCGACTTAGCTGAATTTCACTTCGCTACATCTCTTCTTACCCTGAGACCGCGAACCGCTACCGCTTCTGCTTGGCTAGCGTTTCTCAGAGCAAATCGTTAGATCGTTTCTCTTCAATTCTGGCTAATGCAAGAGCCCGCACCAAAAGCAATTCTGCTTCTAAGAAGATTTGGGCTAATGTACCACCAGGGATTCACTCGGAGTGAAGTGCATGACAGATAACGTTTCCGACTTTCAGTCAATCCATGCCTAATGAGGGCATGCTACGTCATACCTGGGATACATCTCGAATCCAGGTTTAGGATTAGTAACTCCCCACGCTGCCAAAATTCTTTGACTTTTGGAAGCGTTACACCTTTGATACTTAGTCCTGTAGCCCCGCAGCAAGAGATAGAAATTTCTTATTCGTCTTTGGCACGTTTAATACCCCCGCTTACTGTCTTCTCGTTAAGGTGATCGCGTGTCGTATCGCATTTTGCATCTCATCCTACCGTGACATTCCACAGCTTCATAACGCTCGGATGTTGATGTTGGCAACCAACAATCCTAGGCTGTGAGCTCCAACTCTTTTAGATATGCCGGCTCCCACTGACGCCTGGATAGACACCTCCAGAACGATTTCAGCCCTTAGGCCTCATTTGTGTTTTCCGTGGACACAACCAGAGACAAGGGCTTATTTAGCGTGTTTAGTTATCGATTTCCACCTTTAAAGGGTTACAGTCAACTACAACTCGTTTGTCAACTATTCGATAAACTAATCATTACGAGAGGCTCGCACCGAGAAATTTCTTATTGAACGAATCCGCGTTAATAAATGGATCAAGTTGGTATCATACGGTCCACCAAGGAGCGCAACATAGAATTCTTTGCTCTTTCAAATCATCATGACATAAATATTTCAATAAAGTTTCGTTCAAACTAATACTAAATGTATCTGCTCTAAGTAACTGCGATAATAAAGCCCTGTAAGCTGTTGCGTGAAACTAGCAGTGTTCTTTCCAGTATCCTCTCTCATCCATTCTAGTATTTGTATCATGGTGCCATACTTGGGTATTTCTGGGTTTGACTCTTAGTCTAAGGGACAAATGGACGTAGACCATCGCACGATATGTATTGTCAAAATCCACGGTAACATTTGTGTAATTGTGTGCGCACACCAGAATACGGTTCACATTGTCAATGAGCTCACCTTTTTTCGATGAGACGTAAGCGTAAGCAAACAATTGTTCACAAGAGATACCTCTTGTGAATATTACCACCAGTACGATGTAGAGTCAACATCTCCCTTCTTTCAGTGGATCACTTTTAAAGAAGAACAGAAGAATGAATAAATATGAGTAAATGAATGATACATCTCGTATTTCTAAAATAATCCAGAATTACTATTATTTACTCTACCTATCTTTTGTAAACTGTGTTGTGCTCACTGCATAAACTAATATGAGCAGACTCTTCCCGTCGCGTCTTGATCTCTTGGACTTGATCCGCATATTCAATTGTTAGCTTATCTTACAAGTTCATTTTTTATCAACATGGCTGCGAGTTTTAAGGTACTATCTATGCTAATGAAAGGCGGATAGAAGAGGCTGTCCCTTGTGATAGAAATAATTAGACACTTTCAAGTCGCGAGAGCTGAAAGTCGCCGCCTGATCTCTGATCAAATTTCGACTCAGTGTCGAGCATAATGACTCGACAAGTGTCGAAATCTTATTGTGTGGAGTTATACGTAAATTTCAAATTTTGAGGATCGGATACAGTTTCTTAGATTTCAAATCTGCAACCCAATTAGAAATGTATGTATTGAGAAGCAATATCAACGACTATGTAACTCATTCAATGGAAATCAATCCTCGAACATCTTTGATAAATATCAATTTTCTATTCACATAAGATCTACAGAGTTGAAAGAACGAAGAGAAGTTTCTTATACCTGCTGAGACGACCTTCTTACTTCACGTAAATTATTCTATCCAGTTGTTAATCTTCGATAAAATTGCGACCATCGTAGCGGTCTCGACAGTTTCTTTCTAAAAGCTGAACGGCCACTGACGTCACTCCCAGTCGCAGCGACGTTGTCAAGTTTTGAAGGTTTTATACTAAAAACATCATATAAACCCAATACATACAAAAATAGAAACCCCCAGGAAGTTATTAAGTTTCGTTTTTCTTAGGAAACGTCGTATGGCTCTTTTCATTCCCATTGACCGTTATATGCGGCTGGTCGGGAAAGCAGCCAATGGTACTCGACGATCCGTTTCAGGTCATTGAGACTATTCAAACCACCAACCACTTATGGTTCAGTAAGCCACGCGACAGTGTCTAAAGACTCAAAATGGATTCGTTAAGTTTCTCGCCATCTAATTCGCAAAGTTTTGCCACATTAGACAAACGTCGTCCCTGGACACGTGAAGATGATGACGTGATCTTACAATTTGTACGCGATTGTGGCACAAAACGTTGGGCCAAAATTGCAAAACTTTTGCCAGGTCGTACCCCAAAACAATGTCGTACCCGTTGGCTTAATTTTCTCGATCCAAATATTAATAAATCCCCATGGCGAATGGATGAAACTCAATTAATTCTTGCAGCACAAGAACGACTTGGAAATCGATGGGCGGAGATTGCAAAACTTCTTCCTGGTCGTACCGATAATGCAATTAAGAATCATTGGTACTCAACGTATCGTCGTCGATGTCGTCAAGCAGCTAAAGTCGAAGAACGTCATTTTGATCCACCAAGTTCTCGTACAACTTCAACTTTCATAGGACCTTCAACAATTAATGCAACAGTTGCATCGGCAACATTAACAGTGCCATCGCCACTTTCAGTAAGTTCACCAGTTGGATTAACTGGTACAGGTGGAAGTTTACCCTTGTTACTCTCACCTTTGCGACTATCACAACGTACGACAATGTCAATGATACCGTTGCCCATGCCCATGACGCTACCATCTCCAAAACCTCAATTTTCAATTGAAAATTCAACGTTATTCTTTTCGACTTGTGGACCACACCACTCGATACCCAATTTGTTGCAAGATCGACCAAGTTTGCAAAATCATCAGTCAGCATGGGAAGGGTTACCAGGGTTTGGAACCTCGACAAACGCATTAAGCACAACATCGAAAGGTATTACACGAGTCGACATGTTAAAAAGACAAGAAACATTTGGACGTGAGCGCAGTGACTCGGCAGATTTATTTCTAACTTGCGTTGAGATGATGAAGAATGTGAAAAACAACAGAAAGGGTTGTCATCATCTTGTATTAAAGGATACAGATGATGAAGAGAGTAACCAATCCGAAACCTTTCAAATAGACTCGGAAAACCATCTCCGCTGCAACTTTTCGGGTACACAATCGTGGTGGGACTCTCCAATCATATCCAACTTTTCTGGTACAAGCTAAACTTTAACATTATATTGTAAAATTTACGTTTTAATCCAATTTTTCTGTAAGTATAAAGTCTGTATCACATTGCACAGAGAGTATAAACTTTCCTACTTTTCCAGGTTCATACGTTGCAGGAATGATCACATAAGTATTTTGAGATGCTACTGGAAGCATAAGATCTTGTGGGGAAGTGACAGAATGAAAAGGTACAAATTCGGTCTCTCTCCATGCTCGTCCATTGATTGAAATGAAAGTCTTTTTGTCTTCCAAACGCATTGATTTCTCACGACATTTTGGAAAGCAATAAAACCCAATCATTGTTCCAACGGGATCTCGTTGACACATAGATTTCCACTCACGATCAGAACGTGTGAGTGTAATTTGAACTTTTGTTGGTCGTACATTTTGAAAATGAAGTTCAAAGTTTGGATTTTGTTGCCATTCCGAATGAAGATGACATCCTTTTGCTGTTGCTTTCGTCCACTCTCCAGGAAGACATTGAAAAGCTTTGAAACCTTGTGATATTTCATCGACTACTAATGGAAATTCACTATCAACTTGTAATTCAAAGGAACCTTCAATTCCACTTGTACCTAACGTTGGAACGACAATGAGACCACCAAGATCATTTGATTCGTTGGATGCATAAAGCCATTCTTTTGGTACTTTTTGAAGGTACAGACATGCAATAGATGGACTAGTATATGATGATAATCGACACCATTCTGTTGGATGAACAACAAGCTTTGGCGTTGGCAATGGACTAGTATCAAAGCCAGTGGTAGCTTCATTCTCATCATCTTTATCATCATGTAACAAAGTGTTCATGCTCTTCTCGTTCCGTTTAGTACTACGTGCAATAGCTTTCGCAAATGGTGAAACAATCGATTCCCCTAAAAAATCTGTACGATTACTTTTCAAATGTATTCGAAGATGTGTTGCTGCTGCAGATCCTGACCCTCCAACAAGTTCAGTTGATGTTGCTCGAAGTGCAGTAATTCCAATCATATGAGTAAAATCTTTCATTCCATCCCCTCGTTGTCGTGATTTACTTGTTGATACACGATGTGACGTCTTTCGAAGTACAAGTTTAATTGTTACATAAGATTTCAATGCAATTAATTCTTCAAGCTTTCGACGTTCAGAACGAGTTCGATTAGCAAATCGAATCCAAAATTGAGGATTTTGACACCAAGTTGCATTTGTTTTATTGACTACATGAGTATCTTGTAATGGTAATGAAAGTAATGGACCACCAGCACTTGAAAATTCATTCAAATGATTCTCATCCTTTGAATCTTCTGAACTTCGCCATCGTCCAGTACAAAAGACTGACAAAAGTTCAGGAACTCGCTCGACTCGAATAGGATGAGAAGCAACAATTCGTAAAAAAAATTCCATTTCAACTTTTGAACTTGTTGTATATGGAACAACATAATAAACGTTTTGTGATGACAACGTGATGTTTTCTTTGACTACTTCACGTTCTGGAAGTGCTTTAAGTGAATTGGTACTTGGATTGAGAACAGATATAGTACTTCCCACATTTCCATGTGTACTACATATCGAATCAGATTCAGATGAATGAGCTTCTGCCACAACCTCATGACGATTGCATTCCCATAAAACAGATGGTGGATCCTTAAATGCAAGTGGTACTTTTTTTCGTAAGATGACAAAATTGATTGCGTAATTATCACCACCATAAAGTCGAATATCATGTTGAGTAAGTGAGATTAATACATTCCGTACACATGCATGAGTTTTTGTTACTTCATCAAATGGTACTGATAGCCGAAATTGAGGGTTACGATGCCAATTTGGGTCTCCATCGTGTACCCAACTCCATCGCGTTTTTTCAAGCTTGATTTCTTTACATTGTATCCCTTGACTATCTTCAATTTGTGTCATTCCAGACACTTTTTTTGGACCACCACCAGCACTTGGACCAATCCAATCACCACGAATACAATATTGATGCAGATTTGAATGAAAGATATGAACAACAAAAAGTTCGGTGAATGTATGACTCAAATCTTCCCAATTCATCCAGAAACATCCATCTGATCCAGAGCGTGAGAAATTACAAGTTAAATTCGAACGTAATGTTTCCTCAACATGTGGATATTCATCCCATTTCGTATCGTCATTCGACCAATCTCCTTTCCACATTCCACGACCCCAAACTGTTTGAAGCTTAATCAATCGTAAAATCTCTTGAGGTGGTGAAATCGATGACGAAAGAGGTACAAGATTGATTTCAAGCATCTTATGAATCACGTACTGACGATTTTTGAGAATCCCCATTGGTGTAATCTCTTGAGCATGAAATGCAAGCTGTCGTAATTGTGTAGTGATGATACATTTGTCATGATGGTACTGCATAATCTGTTTCCACAAAAGTAGTGACGGACATGATGATGTGGTACTAGATGAAGTTCCAGCTTGTGTTTGGGATTGTAAAGCAATACAATGAGCACTACCACCAGTACAGTCAAGAAAAGCTTCAAGAATTCGACCAGTACTCGATCCAGCACTTCCTCCACTTCCACCTCCATATTTTTCATCTAATATTTGATAACTACCATGTAACTTTGCATACGCTTTCTCTAGTAATGGAATATACACTTCATTCGGATCACAACTACTACCATAAAGTACAGATCCTGGTTGTCGAAATTGTCGACTTTGTTCACTCTTGTCTTGAAAAGGAAGCTCCATGGAGTATGGAATTCGTGTATCTGTAGTCACAGAGATCCAATTTTCATCTTTATAAAATCGACACGTATAAACTCCAAAGTGTTTAAAGTCTTGTAAAGATTCCGACACAAAGAGTTGTTCAATTAAATTATCTGGATGGAGAGCTAAAGCAGCAAAGACACCTAGTAACCATGCATCATTAAGTAAACCTTCACGTAAAAGTCCACATCCTGATGATCGTTTAAAGTAATCAGGATCGGCAGTATATTCATTAGGTCGATACCAGAAAACATTCGTCCGAATTGAAAGAGCATAGTCAGGAAGTTTCTTCGGATCAAAGTATAAACTCGAGTCATTTGATGGAAAGTCTGGGTCTTCATACAATTCTTTCGAATTCTTCGTATCATTCTGTTGACTACATAATTTTTGAATGATTGCACTCTCAATTGCTAATGATGATGCCGCAGAGAATTCGATCGTTAGAGCACGAGACATTCAAGAAGAACTGCGTCGTTTCGATGGAGATTTGAAAATTAAGAAAAAATAGATACCATTCAAAATGGGACGGATGAAAATAGCCATAATGTTGAGAAAATGGAGCTGGAGAAAGCCTCGTGGGGATCTAACGTTTCGACGCTTTAAATACTCCAAATCCCACGTTCAAGACGATGATGTAGCAATGTCTTCAAGTCGATTACGAGTGGGAGTACTAGGACTTGGAGCTATTGGGACTATCTTCTTTACTCGATTGGGGTTACTGGCTACGAACTTAAAGGGTACGACAAAGTTCCCAAAACTTACAGTAGATGCCTTTATTCGACCCAAACGCTTTGAAAATTGGGTCCAATCTCAAACCTTTCAATTGAATATTCTACAAGGACAAAAGAAGGAGACGCTACATTTTTGCATTGCTCCAAGCAATAAATTGGCGACAGTTTGGAATGCACCACATGTTCGAATTCGTACACTAACAAGTCATGACAATCAAACGAGTGATAAAGTCGATGTATTACTTGTGGCTGTGAAGGCATACGATAGCACAAACGTAGTACAAGAGCTTTGGGAGACAAAGCGACATATGCTACAAAATGACGCAATATGTATTCTTTTACAAAATGGACTTGGACATGAAGTGCCAGAAAATTCTAAAAATTTGGAAATGTCCTGGCAATTTCTAAATGGCGTGACATTTATTGGAGGACGGATGATTAACTTTGGAAGTGTCGAGACGAGTGGATTAGAAACGGGAATGACATTTCTTGCTCCAATGACTCAAGTACATTGTCATGACATTGAAACTTGTAAAAGAATGAAGAGAATAAACGTCGTGGCGCAGATATTTCAAGCTGCAGGTAACGCTGTTTAGTGTTTTTTTTAATCGAAATTTGTTGAAAAACAAAAGTTTAGGTCTACGCTGCGAGGTGTTGGAGACTAGTGCAATGCAAGGAATGCAATGGCGAAAGTTGATTATTAATGCAGCGATTAATCCTCTCGCGTCGTTACTCAATGCTCCAAATTCGGTATGTATTTGATCAAGTTGATCTTGTTTGGATTTTTCACACGTTTTATTGAATTCTAGAGTGTCATTTCAAGCCAAAGTAGTCGAGATTGTATTAAGATGGTGGTTGAAGAAGCTATTGCAGTTGCTCAAAGCGAAAAGATTGTATTAGGATGTTCTCAGGATGTACGGTTGACACGGTAATGAAGGATTTGAAATCTTGTTAACAGGATATGTAGGAATTGCTTCATGAAGTCGTGGAGGTGGCGAACAATACTGGTACAAATATATGCTCTATGCTAGCAGATTTACGTCGCGGTTCGAGGTGAGTTTTTTTTCGATATTGTTGTGGGGAGTTGTTTATTTTTATGGAATTATATAGAACAGAGATTGACGCGATTACTGGACGACTTGTTCAAGGCGGTGAACGATATGGTATTGCTACTCCAGTGAATCGATTCTTGCTTTTATTGATTCAAGCACTTGAGAAAGAGGGTTTGCGACGTAATGATTCGACAACAAGCGTTTCGAAATGACTTGAAAACTGATGTGTTGAACAACAGCAGAGTATGGATCTGAAAGGTTTAACAGTTTAATAATGCAGAGGGTGGCCGTATTGGTTTGCTCAGAGCCAATCATGCAATCTTTTCATATTGTAAGCAGCCTCATGTATTTTTGGTTTTATTGTCCATTATGTTTGTTGGCATCTGCAAAAGCCTTAAGCAAGTTGTCACTCGAATTTTTAATGGATACATTCATCTTGACAATCTCAAGGTTTCCCAAATTTGGAACCACAATAATTATTTTATTGTTTTAGAAGTAATAATTACGATCTTGAAAACTATTGCTAAGATCTTTTGCGGATCGGGAGATAGACAAAGATCGCGTGTTGACTTCGAAAGATATGACAGAGGTAGTGATCATATGATACACCCTTTAAAAAGCTACGAAGAAGAAAAATGATAAAGATATTGGCGACGATTCAGCTACAAACATTAACAGACTTGACTTTCTCTAGCATGTAATAATTATCGAGGTTTCTGGAATCTCAAGTCTTTTCACTTCCTAATTCACCGAGATCCTGTCAGCTGTACTCGTCGTATCTTGCAATGAAATTCAGTGTAGTAGCTACTATTGCTGGAATGGCGATATTCGTATTGGCAGCTCCGTCGCGTGCTGTTGTCTCGTTCACTCGGTCGCTTGAAGTGGAGAAAAAGTATGAAGTTCAAAATGAGCAACAGAACACTCAAAACGAGGAGAGAGTTCTTGCTGACGATGGACTTAAGGAAACTGCGAGCAATGGCTGGAACGCTCTGTTTGGGGGCAAGAAGCTAAGAGCTCTTGCATACAGACTTGAAGCAGCCGACATGATTGATAATGGATACGTAGATGAGGACGAGGAACTACTTGCTTCTGGAGGTAGACGTCGAGCTCTTGCTTTTGGAGGTAGACGTCGTCGTTAAGAAGTCTTTTGTTTCGAAATCAAAACAAAAATTTATTGCAATATATTGTTTGAGTTTCGTTAATGTTTGCACAGCAATAGTGACAATTGTCCTGCAATTATTTGATCATTTGATTCTTCGATCATGTCCTATCATATCATATTTCATCTCAAGACCTAGTCTAACAAAGCAATGCTAGCTACGATTGCTTTCGGGCAAATAACATGCAGTCTATGTATGTTCTGGAAGAATAACAATAAGATTGTAAATATTTATAAAATATAATTATCTTAATAAAGTAGAAATATATTACTTCTTGTATCTTTCTACGATGAAAGGTCGCAATCTTAATGAGATCCACGTTATACCATCGCTATGACTGAAGATGACAATGAGAGAAGATCTTTGCGTCGGCTTAAAATGAAACCAACAAAGATACACGCGACTGCTTAACGAGCAAAGATATGGACATCAGTCTTGATTCACTTTTCTATTTCCCAAGAGCGTCTCAACACTTAAAAATGAAGATCATTGCGACAGCAACAATTCTTGGCATGGCATTACTCCATGTTGCAACCCCAACGATTGCTGCCGTTGCCTTTCGTCCCGCACTCGAAGCAGACGAAACGAATAAGCAGCAACAAGATGCACAAGACGAGGAACGAGCACTTGCTGCTGAGAATCATGACGCAACAGCAAGTGGAGACTGGAATGCTCTTCTTGCGGATCGAGAGACGCGTGCTCTAGCGTATATTCTTGAGGCAGCAGATATTATCGATGAAGAAGATAACTATGAGGAAGAGGAGGACGACTATGAAGATGAAGATTTGCTTGCATCTGGTGGAAGACGCCGTGCACTAGCTGATGGTGGACGACGTCGAGCGCTAGCGAATGGTGGAAGACGTCGAGCGCTTGCTAATGGTGGAAGACGTCGAGCGCTTGCTAATGGTGGAAGACGTCGAGCTCTGGCTGACGGTGGAAGACGTCGTGCTCTTGCTGATGGTGGAAGACGTCGAGCTCTTGCTGATGGTGGAAGACGTCGAGCTCTTGCTGATGATCATTAGCGATACAATGATAAGCTTCTGGAACTCGAACGTGGATGACCAAAGGGTCGGACGCAGTGCATATTCAACATTCGTTATAAATGATTTTTGTTATTTTGTGTTTTTTATAAAAAACACAAATATAGCAATATTCTTAGCAGTCTTGTCAAAAATGATATAAGTTACTCGATAAGATTCTAATGACAGGATAAATACAAAGTTCAAAAATGATCAGATTCCAGATCTAATTTCCACTGCTTGCAGCCCCATGGCTCTTCATCCGCTTGATCCTCTTCTTTACTTTGTGGTAATCCACTAGCACTTTCAATGTTACTATTCGCCATAAGTAAGTGAGCACGAGACAAATTTCGAAATTCTTCTTGTTTTCCTCCATGTGCGAGTAAATATGCTTCACTTCCCATCTAAATGATACAAATTTGACTCAGTACAAAAAGTCTCGAATCAGTTTCAAAACTGTACGTACCTCAAGCAGGCGAGAAACTGTACGATCAAATGCAAAGACCTCATCGACATGGGCTTTCATCTTTCGATCCACTTGATAAAGTCGCTCAGGACTTTCCATAGCCAAACAATGCAGCTAATCAATACAAATGAAAAATGCATTAGCTTTTTTTTCACCAAAGTACAAATTCAAATCGTATATTCTCACTCGAACACCACGATCGTACATGCAGTCGACAAACGTGATAAATCGTCGCACTTGGTTCAGGTTTTCAGCATTGAGGATTGGAATCTCAGTAACAAACACAATTGAAAACACGTCTGCGATTGCCAAATAATCTGCGGCACCAAGTGGTTTATCGCACAAGTCTTGAAATGAAAAACGACATACAGCTGCAGCTACAGCCGCCTCTGGAATCTGTACTTGACGTCCCAATGTTGTAACACAGGTCGTCACAATCTTTTCACCACGACAAAATGTTATAAACTCACTGTTAACTACAGCACGTGTTTTCAAAGTAATTGGATATTCGTAGACATTTTCCACATGATTAGCACTCTTTAATACGCGGTAGTCTGTCGTCGAATCTTCGAGTGACACAACATTGCAGCGCTCTTGAAGTAAATGAATAAATGGTACAAACAATTCTCGTTGTAGTCCATTCTTGTACAACTCACACGGTGGTCGATTCGACGTCGCAACCATAACAAATCCCCTTGCAAGAAGTGCAGAGAATAATCTTCTTAAGATTAAAGCATCTGCTACGTCTGTAACTTGAAACTCATCAAAGCATAATAACCAACTTGTTTTCAACAAATTGTCTGCAATATGTGGAATTGGATCTTCATGAAAACCTTCTTGACGCAATTCGTGCATACGTTTATGAATATCAAGCATAAATGCATGAAAATGAACACGTAACTTCTTTTCAATTGGTACACTGTTAAAAAACATGTCCATTACAAATGTCTTTCCACATCCTACACCACCATAAACGTATAAACCTTTTGGTACATGTCCTCGCTCGTGTACCGTCTTGTCTTCTTTACGTATTAGTTTCTGCCACCACGAAGATGAAGTTGTTTCAATTGCATTCAATTTTGGACCATTGTAACTTACAACTTGGTCATATAATGCGTCGAATTGGTGCACAGCATGCACTTGAAAAGGGTCGTACGTCACGGTACCAGTAGCAACAAGTTGCTTATAAATCTGATAAAGTGTGTGTTGACTAGATGGAATAGATACGCCTAATGTCGACGTATACCGCGTAGCATACCATGAATTCTTTTGACGAAGCAATAGAAGACGCTGAACAGTTCGATGGTGCATGATTGTAATAATGAGAAAATTTAGAAATGCTACGACGTACGATCAGATAATTTGGACAATCATAAGTTCTGAAAAAACCGGTATTTTTAGAGATTTCCGAATATTTTAATATTCACTGGCAATTTGAAGCTCGGACTGTGATCTTAAGTCTCTGGTCAAACGGTCTCGCATCTATGCTCGTGTACTGCAGACTTTGCTAGTACAAGAGCATGCCAAGATTAAATTCTATAGACGTCATTCTTTAGTATTGTTATATTTCTATGAGTTTAAGTCGGATTCTCTTTATGGACGAGGAAGTAAAAAAAGTTAGGAACATGGCCAATATGAGAGCCAAGAGTGATTCTATTTATCTATTGAATAGGATGACAAAAGTTACGACGAACATACAAGAATTGATTGCTACAAGAGACGAAATTTGATTTCCTGACATCAAACTTGTTAGAGCTGACTGAGTCTCATCGTGAATTTTGTTGTAATGTACGTGCTAATGCACAGACTGTAAATGGCATGATATATCAGTGTGTCAGCATGTTTAATTCTTGCTTGAATGCATAGAAGTTTTACATACCGTGACGTAAGGCTCGAACGCACTCATCTATTGCTGCCGTATTCTTCGATGTCTGTGCTCCTTTTTTATGAACTACAATTAAAGCATCCGTTCCTTCCACAACGCTCACTTGTATACACGAATTTCGTCCACTTTGAATCGTCATGGAGCTTACATCGTCGCCCGAAAATGACACTAGAATTTACAAGCACAAACGTTACCTGAGGGACATGATGAAAAGCAGCATAAAGAGTACATGACATACTCATATCAATTGAGCTATTAACAAGCGCCTGAAGATTAGCCAACACACCAATCGGATCCACGTCTCCTGTTGCACACGTCACGGCACCGTCCACTACAAGCATTGCTTTTAAAATACCACGTTGCTTTTGTACTAAACAAACCATCGCAACAATTAGCCAGGGGTTTAAAAAAAATTGACAATCACTGAACTGTGTCAGCTCACACTTTCGAACAACTGGCTTCACTGAATCGCGTATTACACTAAGAATTCGATACTGAAAGCGATGAAAGTCGCGTAAATTATGTCCCATATTGCCCAATTCATCGCCATGCTGCGCAATGAACGCTGTCAATAATTCCTGCGCCACAAATGCCGAATAACTCGCGCCGTCGGTTGTATCGTGAAACATGGCACAAAAAACTTTGTGTTTATCGTTCGTGATCATCGTAACGGCCACTTAATAATCACAAAACACAACGTTAAAAACGTCACGATTGACTACTTGTCACTTGCTTTGAATGTCACAATTTACGCACCGGAAGACATTTGAATATACGATACTGGAGCTCCACTCGCTTTGTTTGAAAATTCAAGCATTGCAGTGATCAACGAACCGACTAATCGAGGCTACATCGCAGCGTAACCCAAAGAATCAGACATGCGTACACCAATTTTTTAAATTAATACTAAAGTTACAAGCACTTAAAAAGCGTCATGTGTACCTGTGCGACAGCGTTTGCATACTCTTTGGAAAAGAGTACGATGCCGCTAGATGCCATGATGAGTACATTGCGTAGCATTGTTCGTGGGGGGGGTACAAGTCTATTACTTTGGTTTTCAGAAATTTCCATTCTGGTCGCAATTCACAGAATCAGAAGAAACGGTAACCAATGGTTATAGTTACGAGAACGTTACCCATGGAACACGGAATTTCAGGCGACGATGCCCTTCCAACTGTAATTGAACGCTATCTGACGGACGAACAGATCCAAACATTTATTGAGAATGGTGTACTGGTTGTGCCTAATATCCTAACGCCAGATGAGGTGGCTGCAGCGCGCCATGGTCTTCACGCTGAGCTCGCTAAGTACGACGTGGTACGTCGATTACACATTTCTAACGCTTTAGAAAATAGAATTTATGTGATTTGTCTTGTTAGTTACATGACAATTTAAAAGAGACCGGAAGAAACCTTAAGAAACTTTCAAGTACTGGAGGTGCAGGCGGCATTCTTGACCTCTTTTACCCATCGTGGAGACTTAAAGTAGCTGAACACGATCGTATATTCGCAGCAATGACAGATTTGTGGCAGGCAACGTATGCAAATAATTCCTCGGACTTTCAGCATCCATTTGGAAAATTTAATGGTAAACGTGGATACATGTACATTAACCGCGTATGTTATCGCGTGCCTGATGCAATTTCAAAACGATTTGGAGCGAAAAAGTCGCGTCCAATGCAGAGGTCATTAACGCCACACTGGGACTGTTGTCCGATCAAAATGTATGATTCAGGCAAAGCAACACCACGTTGGCGACCAATCCAGTGCATCACAGTGCTAACTAGCAATACAGAGCCAAACACTGGTGGATTCGAATGTGTGCCTGGATTTCACAAAGAATTTGCGAATTACGCACTGAAACAGCAGGACCTTGGACTTGAAGATTCGTACCGATCGCAAGTTTGTCTCGGAGACTTCTCACCTTTACGCATGCAGGAAGACCGTGCTGTCATTGATCGCTACCAGCACATAAGCTGTGAAGCTGGTAGTGTGATCTTTTTTGATTGGCGGCTTCCACATGCGAATAGCTACAAACATATTGGTCAAATCCCGCGTGAGGTCATTTACACGGGGTTTCTTCCTGATACGCTGATGAATCGAGAATATGTGAAGGAGCAACTACGTCGCTATCAAGCTCGTTTAGTTCCCACTGATCACTGGCAAAAAGATGATGTAGATGCTCGAGTTTTGGAGGAATACTCCACTCACCACTTTTCTGCATTAGGCTCACGCCTTATTGGTCTATATCCATGGTAAACCTGTTTTTATATCATTTGTGTATAAACACCAAATTGGTGTACTCCTTGTGTAAAAGCAGTCAATGCCAATGCTGCGTATACGACAATGTTCTCGAGCACTGAACGCTTCTAATCGATCGCTGAAGCTATTCCAACGTGTATTGGATACGAGATCGACGTATAATGACGCAGCGATTTGCGAAACCAAGAAAAAGCACGTAGTCGTGGGAATGTCTGGTGGTGTCGACTCGTCAGTTGCTGCATTGCTGCTCAAACGCCAAGGCTATCACGTCACTGGTGTATACATGAAAAATTGGGATTCAAGTGATGAAGATGGAGTTTCAGCATGTCCTGTCGACTTGGAGTATCGAGATGTGCAGAAAGTATGCGAACAGCTCGGTATCGAGGCACAGATGGTACGTGAAGCTAATTATTATGTCGCCAAGAGGTATTTAACTCCTTCATTTGTTGATTCAGGTGAATATGGTTCAGTCATATTGGAATCAGGTCTTCGCTCCGTGTTTAAAAGGGTATGAAGAGGGTTTAACACCAAATCCAGACATTTTATGCAATCGGGAGATTAAATTCAAGGCTTTCACTGAGTACGCAAAGAGAATTGGTGCTGACTATGTAGCAACCGGTCATTACGCGGCATTGCGACCTGTAGAACTAGGCGGACTTCCGCAACTATTTGCGGCCGAGGATAGTACTAAAGACCAAAGTTACTTTTTGTCTAATGTAGATGGAAAAGCGTTTGAAAAGGTACTATTTCCACTGGGAGGAATGCGAAAGACGCAAGTACGACAGATCGCAGAAAGTGAAGGTCTATGCACAGCTTCAAAGAAAGACTCGGTCGGTATCTGCTTTATAGGCAAGCGTAACTTTCCGGATTTTATCCATCAGTACATCCAGCGTCAAGAAGGATACTTTCATGCCATAAACGGCACAAAATTGTACCCACATCGTGGGTTTACAGCTTACACTGTTGGTCAAGGCGCTCGTCTTCACGGAATGAGTGCCAAGTGGTTTGTAGTTGGCAAGCGCAAGTCCGATTACTCGATTTTCATTGCTCAGGGCACTCGAAACCCGGCGCTGTACTCGGACACTCTTTATGCTTCAGCAGCACAATTTAATTGGATTGCAGGAGATTTACCTCACGATTTTCAACACATCGGTCGCCTTCGCTGCTACTACCGAGTTCGTTATCGTCAAGACTTGGATGCATGCACCGTCTCGTTTGTATCCAGCCACGATGCATTACTAAATGCAAGTAAATTTCACGATTGGCAGCCTGAACTAGTGGATGACGATAATCTTGATGGAAAAGAGATGACCAGAACCTACTTACGAGTAGACTTTGACCATCCACAGCGTGGAGTCACGCCTGACCAATCTCTCGTTTTGTACCGAAGTGACGGACTATGTTTTGGTGGCGGTCCAATCGCTGCCGCTGGAAAAACTTATTACGAGCAGGATAGACTACTTCCAAACGATGCACCGGACTGGCGTAGTCAAGGCTAAAAACATTTGGGCACAAAAGTTAGTACACATGTACGGTAATAATAGAGAAAGCATTCCAACCAACCGTTTCAATCCTTGTTTTACAATCTGCATCGACAATCACGACAAGCCTTGATCATAATTTTCTTGATAAATTTGTACTCGACAGTCCCACTTTTCAGAAGCTTATCGCTTCGCAATGTTCATCTGGTGAAGGCCAATTTGTAACTTCATCGCGTCCAGTAGTATCAGGTCCGATTGCATATTTGAGGCATAAACATACCGATTACTTGGCAACGTGTTTGGCGTCGTAACTTCATCGTACGTCTTGATCTTTCTATTCCACTTCATAGACATCTATCATTTTGGATCGTAACGTCTCCGGAATCATGATAATTGATCTTCTAGATTTTCAACAAAATTTAAGCTTTGATCACAAATTACAATAAAATAAAAAACTATGACAAGTAGCGATTTTTACGCCGTGGCGGCAGGTCGCTCCACTGGCATCTTCACATCATGGAGAGAGTGTGAGACGCAAGTTAAAGGGTTTGCTGATTGCAAATTCAAGAAATTTAAGACCCAAGGCGAAGCGCAGGCTTTCATTGATGCCCACAAGTGTCAAAACGTAAAGGCAAATTCTAAAAGACCAAGGGAGGAGTGTGCTGAGGTAGAGAAGGAGTTCAACTCAAGTGCTATTAAAAAACAACATCGAATTGATACGTCAAAGAGAACTCAGGTGAAGACCTTAGTACCAGACAAACGTCAGGACTGTGTAGGTTCGTGGTATGCAGTGGCAAAAGGGAGGGAGGCGGGAGATCCAGATCCAGAAGATCCTAATAGTTTAGTAGCTTTTTGTGATGGAAGCGCCTTAAATAACGGACGTGAAAGTTGTCGCGCAGGATACGCTTGCATCTTTCCCCACTGCGAGAAGTGGAATGTAGCCAAACAATTGGTAGAGAAACGAGCTACGAATAACCGAGCGGAGTATATGGCGGCGCTTGAGGCAATGAAACGTGCGAATCTGGAGGATCCCGAAAGATCTCGAATGTTATTTATCTTTTCAGACAGTAAACTTTTAATTCAATCAATGACAGAGTGGGTTGACAAGTGGAAAAAGAACAATTGGTTCAAGTCGAATGGTGCTCTAGTGCAAAACCGAGATTTACTCGAACTGCTTGTGACTGAAGAGGGCAGCCGCCGGATTCGATGGACTCATGTGAAAGCTCACACAAATAAAAAAGATTGGAAATCCAAGTGGAACGATGTTGCCGATAATGCTGCCCGAAATGCAGCCATGAGTATTTGCTGTGACTAGCTGAATGATTAAAAAGATAACTCCCAAATCTTTCCTTTGATACCGAAAATCTTTCTTGCAACTTTATCTCGTAAGTAAGACTTAATCCAATATATTTACAACCAACATCAGAGTTTCTCATCCATAATTGTTCCCTGCCCGGCAGTTGCGTCTAGATAACAGCCTAAAGAGAAGCTTCGATTGTCTTATTTCGTCAGCTCAGTAATCCTAACTTGATTAATTCTTCTATAAATCCTGCGGAGACTATCAACCACCGTTTGAATCACGCCCAACATTTACATAACCAAAATGTATCAAGAACCAGTAGATATAGTGGTTTAATTCCTCATTTTGATAACTTCATCAAAAGCAGGGCCAATCTTCATAAATGATAGAGCCACCATCAATTAACTCGTGGCAATCATGAGGGTATGTTTTCATAAACCTATATACAGTTGCAGGCTCAAGGCTTATCAAAGAGGCTGAAAAGGCAGATACAAGCAAGGGGTTCTTCGAGCGAATTGCAGATCATCGAGATTTAGGTTCGGGAATTGGCTAAAGTCGAGATACAAAAGAACAGGTTGATTTTGCTATGATGCGCTTGCTCTTGATGCGTCTCACTCCATGATAGATCACCTGCTTCTGGATTAACTTGATGCTTTATGAAGAAGGAGTAGAAGTGAGCGAGGTCGGGAGTCATCTTCCAAAAAATGCCTTTCGACGAATATTTTGGATGCTGATAAAACAATTGTAAACAAGGTGTTGACATGATTAAATTCGCAGTGGATACCTGCCTAGTTCTAGCAAACTTGAGCCTTGTGTTTTTTCAGCCCAATGCGTAGTAAATACCACCGAAAACAAATTTTAAACATCGACTCGAATTGAGAGCAGCAGAGGTTGAGTATTTTTGATGTTTTATAATTGGAAGCATTGAGGAAGTTTATTTCCTTGCCTATGCAGAAACTAAAATAATATTTCAAAACACAAAAGTTAAACACGATGCATTATTCTGAAGAACCGCTGCAAAGTGGAGAATGAAGACAGAATTTTGATTTTTAATAGTATAGCAGATGCAGTGTTTGGTACAGTGCACATCAACAACTTTGTACGCGATCGTTATACGTTAGCACGAATGGATCTACAAATTATGAGGTACAATCCTGTACCTCATAATTTGTAGATCCAGGATTGTACGCCGTACGGTGTGTTCTTTATGTATGGTCGTCGATACATGAAGGAATTTACGCGCGTCTCCGTGATATTGAACGTAGTTGTAACGGGGTTACACGTACCCTGGTAACAGGGGTGAGTGTCACACGAGATGGGTACATGCCTAAACAAGAATACGGTATGTGGCTAGGTAGCCATGTATTTAGATTTTACTATATATTTTTAGAGAGAATAAAAAAATGCCCCAACTTTGCCATATATAAAAAAATCCCAACTTTTCAAAAAAAAAAAATACCCCAGCACGTAAATTATCACCGGGGAGCCGTAATATTACACAACAGAAAATGTATTGTACTTCCTCTGTCCGAAAATATAAGCTGGTGTCTATTACTGCGCGTGTCCGAAAATATAAGCCTAAGTACGGTTTTGACTTTTTATTTTTGCCCAACCGAACTTAAGAAACGTCTGGCCTTATCGTACACTCGATCACTACATGTCAATGAAGGTGGTAGCAAACCAGTGCTCGTTCGTAGCGTGTCCTTGGCGAGGTGAGGGATTTTGTACTTGTTGCATCCGTCGATATGCATTGTCTCCTGCAGTACTGACTGCAGCGTCAGAAAAACTTTGTCGAGAGCAGTGTAGTGGAGTTTAGCGAAAGCGTCGTCCACGTTGTTGACTAGATCCTCGATAGTTTTAGCTTTCATTTTGTGCTGCAACGACTGCAGTGAAGCAAAGAACCCGAGATCATTCGCATTGAAATCCGGTGAATTGGCTGGTTGCGCGGTAAGCTTCATATCCCAGCCGCCAGCTGAGCACGCAGAGTGCACTTCGGGGTCATCAACCGTGACGTGCGGTTTGGCGTTATCCTGTTGCAGCACGACCCGCTTGCCTGATGGCCATACCGCTTTGATGCGCGGTATGACCATCCGGCAAAGCGCTTGTCGATAAATGTCGCGATCGACAGTGTATGTCTTTAGCTCCAAAGTCCCAGCCGCTCGATTCTTGCTGGATCGCTCTGCAGGCTCATAAACAGCAAACGGCCACACACCGATCTTTCCATCCCAAATACAATGATTCTTCGCAGACCATCGCGGGCGAGCCACTGCCGCAAGGAACATCACTTTGATCATGTAGTTCTTGTTCTTCACGGTGATGTAGGGCTCCTCTTCGTGCTCTCCAAGATAGAACCGTTGCTTGTCCTTCTTCAAGTAGAACCACTTCTCGTCTAAATGTACGTATTCCATCATACTGTCGAATCGAATACAGACACCGGGACCACGCTGCACAAAACTAGCAGCAAATTTGACTCGATCGATACGCTGCTTGTCAGTAAGCATCGGCTTGGCGCGAGCTGTGTGGCAACGAAATACTCCAGCGAGAAAGTAGTCATGCAGCGTAGACTTTGGAATACCGAGTGTATTCGCCAAAGTACGAATATCTGACCTGTCTTCTAGCGGGATAAGTTCGATGGCGTCGTTGAGGGCGTGGCGGAACTCCGGCGTTAAACGCGTCTTGCGGCCACTCTTTCCCTTCCTGCCGCTGTTGTAGTTGATCGGCTCTCCTGCTTTGATGTCCTTGGTAGTCCGGCGCCACAATCGCGAAATCTGGTCAGTACTACATCCATACTTAGTCGCGCTGGAGCCGATCGCGCCTGGAGGCGGGCGTAGCTCAATGCTGACCCGCAGGAGGAAAGCGATAACCTCAGCACGCTCGGGCGGGGTGATATTCTTTCGTGGCTTTGCCACAGAAGTAGCGTCAGACCCCATCACAAGGAGTGGCGAAGAGTCAAAGCCGAAATGGGGTTTGACGGCTGTGCGTTTACCGTTATAACTTTGGCTCTGTTCAACAAAAACTCGCACGAGAACCACCAATCGACTTGTCAGGCTCGACCCGTCAATTTTAGCCAGTAAGCAAGCAGAAAAGGTCAAATTTGAGCTTAATATTGGTCAATCCCCGCAGCACCGCTTATATTTTCGGACAGAGGAAGTATTAGGAATGAATTAGCATAATTTAACAAAATACCCCACAATAACAACGTCGATCCTACGGAATCCCTTGGATTCGTACTATCCTTTGGTAGAGGAGTTTCAAGACTTCGTCTCCAACGACCCGCCTTCGGTCCTACCTCCGGACCGAGGTGTGCGTCATGAAATCGACCTGGTTTCGGGAACCAAATACTGCGTAACACGCGAATGGCCCCTGCCTAATGAGCAGTGCGGAGTCATTGACGCCTTTTATCGTGCGAAGCACGATGCAGGGATGGTACGTGATAGCAAGTCTCCCCACTCGACACCCACGTTTTGTGTTCGGAAGCCAAACGGCAAGTGGCGTATCGTTCATGCTACAATAAGTTCAACGCTGCCACCATACCGGCACCGACGCCGATTCCTAGAAGGGATGCTCTACAGAACAATATGGTGGGATGTACGAAGTACAGTGCACC